ATAGACTTATCTTTCAGAAATTGACCTTTTTTGTGTTTTCCCTTCCTAGGGACTGAATCTGGATGACTGTTCCATGTATGAGGACATTTCACGGGGGCTGCAGGCCACCTACCAGGACATAGGGAACGTGAAAGTGATTGATCTGCAGCTGGAGAAGCCAGAGAAACCGTGATAGAAAAGGACTTCACTTTGCATTCACTTTCCAGGCACATAGTATAAACAGCCCATTTTGAATCCTGAATATTCTCCCTCACTTCATCCTGCTGAGGAGCATTGAGGGCAGGGGTGGAAGGATTCTATATTCTCCTCTCTTCAGGATACTCACACTTGTATAACTATGTCAGGTTTACAATAAGAAGGCTGAGAAGAACTTATTGCTTCTGCTTTGTGAAAGATCTGGCTTTGGCAGGAGGGTAAACAACACAGGTTTCCTGGCATTTTCGTTTTCCAGACAAAATATTCTGACAAGTACTAACTTTATTTTCACTTGACATCTTCCTAGTCACTTTTCCATTCTTGGTCTTGTTGGGAAGAGATGCTTCCCTCCCCTTTTCTAGGAAAATTTGTTCCAAGATGTAAAGAACACGTCAGTGATATTCACCAAATGGTGCACAACTGAGCAGCTTATAGGATTAATTCATTTAGAACTGGTGCCTGCTCCTACTTGCCCTTCTGAAATTGGGGTTTAAGAGAGACCTATTTATAGTGCAGCTGATTTGGAAGCATGCTCATTGTGTTCAGTTCAAATGTATATTTTTTCCCCATTGTTGAATGCTGAAGAAAATTGGGCTATAGGTTTGCAGCAAAATCTAGCTGTATATGGTGCTGATTGGACAATGCTTCAAGACACACATGAAGAAGAAAGAAATAGTACATAGACTGCCTCAATCACAAGATAGGAGAAAAAAACTGAGAGCTTATCCAATATTTGCTTTGGTAGAAGCCAGGAAAAGGCTGAAATCATATCATGGGTGAAAAACCTATGCAACTTTTGTTTCAATATTATATTTGTCTTCATCTTTGATCTGCTACTTGTATGCTTTCCCACTCTTGTATAGGAAAAAGTTGTAACATTGTTAATATTGTAGGGTTTTGGGTTTTTTGATAGATTGCACTATGAACCTCCCTTGCTTTCTTCAAAGACCAAAGGAGAGCTGGAGAGAGCTAATGAGACTTGGGCTAAAAGTAATAGGGTTAACCAATGTGATACTCTCCAGATGTTTAGAACTATGATTCCCATTATCCCCTACTATTGTCTATGTTGGCTGGATTGATTGGAGTTATAGTCCAAAAACATATGGAGGACACTATGTTGAGTATCTCTCTCTTAGAAGAACCAATGAGTTTTAGGTTTTCATGGTGACAATGAAAAAAATAACCAGACATTTCACAGTGTTTGGTTATTTCCCTAAATAGGCGTCTGACCCTCTCTTCTTCCCATGACATACGAAGCTCTGGTTGTGCATTACAGAAGATTGCCAAAGGTGGGTGAGTCGAAGCAATGATCAGGGAAATGGGTAGTTGACCCCATGAATACTCTTGATCCAAGCCCTAGCATGGGAGACGGTTTGTAATCCTATTTTGATTTAATGACAGACTAAATTTCCTTATTTTTTCATGTTTTGTCATCTGGGATGTTAATAAAATAAATGTTTCACTATTATGAAATGAGATTGTTTTGAAACAACATGTTTCATTTATTTAGAAAATGTCCTATTTGCTTTATATTCAAAACAACATCAAAGTGATATATTCTATTATTCACTTAGGAGAACAACTCATTTCTAACCCTAACCTCATGATAACAGGGTTAGTTTGGATCAGTGCTTTTGTAATACCGAGCAGTACAGGAAAGTCAGGCCTGTCTTGATGCTTGTCTGATCAGATGCAATACAATACACATTTTCACACTACAAGTGGCCAGCTGGCCACCTTTGCACAAGGAAACATGCACTGACTATTTTCATGATGGATGGTTTTATTACTTCAAGTTGCGCTCCGCGGCAACCTGGAAGTAACAGAGGGTGTTACTTCCGGGTTTCGCCACTCGCGCATTTGCAGATGCTCAAAATGACGTCACATGCATGCACAGAAGCGGCAAAAAGCGACGTGTGCGTGCGCAGACATGCCGTCACTAGTTACGTTTGCTTCTGGGTGCGAACGGGGCTCTGGAATGGATTTCATTTGCATCCTGAGGTACCACAGTACTTCAGCCAGTGCTCTTTCTACAACCCATATGCCTTGTAGCCTAAACCTTAATGCACCATCTGTGCCTGGGAACAATTTGTTTTTCGTCTGGTACCATCTCTGGTGAAACAGAGTATGTCTTTTAAATTAATTCTAAAAAGTGTTTGTATTATCCTTACAAAACCAGAGCAATTCACAACCATGGGCAGGCAACAAAGTTGGTGGCACAGACGGTTCAGATAATACTCTATATTGCAGTTGCTGTAAGGGCCTTTTAGCAGTTCTCTCTACCCTTAAGCAGTGTTAGCTCCCTTCAGCAGCACTCACCATCTATAACAGGGGTAGGCAACCTAAAGTCCACAGGCTGGATGCGGCCCAGTTGCCTTCTTAATCCAGCCCGCGGACGGTCCGGGAATCAGCGTGTTTTTACATGAGTAGAATGTGTCCTTTTATTTAAAATGCATTTCTGGGTTGTTTTTGGTGCATAGGAATTCATTCATTTCCCCCCAAAAAATATAGTCCAGCCCACCAAATGGTCTGAGGGGAAGTGGTCCGGCCCACGGCTGAAAAAAGGTTGCTGACCCCTGATCTAGAAGGTGTACTATAATGCCACCATGTGGAAGATATGCTTGCAAAGGAATGGGGATTCATGAAGGCTTTCCACCCTGTCCATTTTTGCATGAATGGCCTATGTAAGTGTTATCATTATGGCATGGAACATCAATATGCAGGATCTGATATCTATTGCATCTCTCAGTCACCTTAAAAGAATATGAATCTGCCCTTACTACACATAACATACACAAAGAGCCTGTGATCCTCAGTTCACTTACTTAGAAGGCATAATAAAGTCAGTAAGACTTCCAAGGTAAAGCTGTTTAGGATGGAGTGGCTGTCTTCAGGATCAAGAAGGGTAAGTGTTTTTGATACTGCACCATGAGTGGGGGCTCAACCCTTCCCCCATGTCATTTCTCCTAAACCAAATTGAATCCCTAGAGCTAGTACTTGCCTTGTGGGGCAACACATATGGGTATTATATGTATGGGTTTGCGTTGAAGATAAATAGCATCAGCAGGGAAGCAGGCAGTTCTCAGAGGGAAATAGCATGGAGAGAAGGGTTAACCAATTAACTATGCTCCCTTCCACAGCACTGGGATCTCAATCCACATCAGCTCTTCTAGTGCCATTACTAACTCTTACAACAAAAAGCACCACAGGATATCCTATTCACAGCTATCCTGTGACAAGCAGGATTCAGTCCTGATACTTTGCTCTACTTTTGTCTGCAGATGGAACTATATTGTTTGGCAAATATAACAGTTTTGAGAATTTGCAATGCTAACACATCCACGTGGTTGTTTGTTTTAGGCAAAGAAGCTTTGGTGGTTGAAATCTGAAATGGGGGAGGGGGGAGAGGAAGGAATTTCATCATTGTGCATAGGCATCTGCATGGCATTTCCCAACTAACTCCTCCTGAAGCTACTTTTCTCCTTGCAAGGTTCCAAATAATGTATTTTGCAAGTTTAAACAGGCACCCCTGGAGGAGAGTGGCTTGAGGGAAAGCTGTGGAAGAAAAGGGGGGGGGGGCTAAATAAAGAATTAAACATCTTACTCCCCTCCGGCTAGAAGAAGCAGACATCACATTTCATAATATGTGTTTATATACAGTGTGTTATTTGGACCAGAGTTTCAGATTAATGTAAAAAGTATATGACAGTTACATTGAACGCTATTTCTTAATTTATGACAGTGACAGCAGTCACTTTTGAAGAAGCCATTTATTAAGATAACATGGGCAGAATATGATTGACCATTGAAATAAAGCTCAAGAGCTGCAAGCACTAGTTCAACTGAATTATGGAATCTTGGGATTTCATTGTTAGATGGAAATGGAGTTTAGTAGTCAGGGTTGAATCTTCTTCTTCAAATCAGAGCTCCTGAACCTCATTGTAACATTGGCTCATTTTGGAAATAATCTTTAAGTGAAGGTTAGTGAAGATTCATCAGTTATAGCATCAGGAAAACAGTTTCAGCACAACATAAAAAGATGCTAGCAGGAGATAATGTAAATGTAGCTTTATAAATTACATCAGGCAACTCCACAAGTAGTATAGCACGCTATGCTTTTTCATATTGGCCCTCAAGAAGAAATGCTTATTACAAAACTTCAGCATTTAAAACATAGGCACTTCTTTCATTTTAAATCAGATTGTGGAGCATTAAAAAGCATAAGGCTGAAAAAATGTTCACCAAATAAACTTCTAGGGCTTGCCACACAAAAACTCACTTCTAGGGTCATATACCCAAAATTGTGTCTTTAAGAGCTCTAAAACAATGAGGTGGTATGAGCAGTGGTGCTGGCTTTAGAAAAAGTCACGTGATGAAGTTTCCTACAGAGTAGACAGCAAATGATTAGAGCCCTGCTTATTACAGCAGATGGGGAAATGCACCCAAACTGCTAGATGAGCAGAAATGCAGAGCTGCTTACTTTATGACTAAAAACATTCAAAATACAGCACCACACTCTGTACTGGAACTGGTAGCTCTATCCACTATGTTACACTAAGGTGGCTTCTCTCCTGTGTGTATTCGCTTGTGTCTGGCCAGGTGTCCTGACCGGCTAAAGCTTTTCCCACACTCTCCACATGAATATGGCTTCTCTCCTGTGTGCATTCGCTTGTGGACAGCCAGGTCTCCTGAACAGCTGAAGCTTTTCCCACACTGTCCACATGAATATGGCTTCTCTCCTGTGTGCGTTCGCTTGTGGATGGCCAGGTCTCCTGAACAGCTGAAGCTTTTCCCACACTCTCCACATGAATATGGCTTCTCTCCTGTGTGCATTCGCTTGTGGACAGCCAGGTTTCCTGACAAGCTGAAGCTTTTCCCACACTCTCCACATGAATATGGCTTCTCTCCTGTGTGCATTCGCTTGTGGACAGCCAGGTTTCCTGAACAGCTGAAGCTTTTCCCACACTCTCCACATGAATATGGCTTCTCTCCTGTGTGCATTCGCTTGTGGACAGCCAGGTTTCCTGGCCGGCTAAAGCTTTTCCCACACTCTCCACATGAATATGGCTTCTCTCCTGTGTGCGTTCGCTTGTGTCTCGCCAGGTCTCCTGACTGGCTGAAGCTTTTCCCACACTCTCCACATGAATATGGCTTCTCTCCTGTGTGCGTTCGCTTGTGGATGGCCAGGTCTCCTGAACAGCTGAAGCTTTTCCCACACTCTCCACATGAATATGGCTTCTCTCCTGTGTGCATTCGCTTGTGGACAGCCAGGTTTCCTGACAAGCTGAAGCTTTTCCCACACTCTCCACATGAATATGGCTTCTCTCCTGTGTGCATTCGCTTGTGGACAGCCAGGTTTCCTGAACAGCTGAAGCTTTTCCCACACTCTCCACATGAATATGGCTTCTCTCCTGTGTGCATTCGCTTGTGGACAGCCAGGTTTCCTGGCTGGCTAAAGCTTTTCCCACACTCTCCACATGAATATGGCTTCTCTCTTGTGTGTGTTTGCATGGGAGTGACCAGCACTGATGAGTAGCTGAAGCTTCTCTCACACTTTCTAAATGAACGTGGCCTCTCTCCTATACATAATTGTTGGGCTGGGTGTGACAACTGCTTTAAAGTTGCCCCATTTTCATTGCATCTAGAAAGCTGAGTTCTACTCTGTGTCTCTTTGTTTATATCTTTTAAAAACAGTGTCTCCTCATCTTTATCTTTGTAAACACAACTTGGCACTAGGTGCTGCAGCATAGTTCTGTTTGAAGCACTATTTGTGATTTTGAATAGAGATTTCTCTGCTAGGACATTTTCAGGTACTTCAGGCTGTATTCCATATCCTGAATGCCTCCATTTCATATGTCTGTGAAGGTAATCTTTGAAAGTGAAAGCCAATTTGCAGCAGGGACACTGATGACAGGTGATACCTCGCTCCTGTATCAAACGTGAATTCTGCCTGTGTACTATTTGAGAACAAACACGATTTGAGTTTTAGTAGCTATTTTCAACCATGCATGACAAATGGGCATATGGGACTACATTATTTAGGAAACTACAGGACCCAACAAGCTCACTGAGAGCCAAGGAAAAAGACACATGCCAAAACAGAGGGTTGTCCTGAAGGAGCAAGCAGCAGTAAGAAGACCAAGGCTGGCCACAGCATTCAGAAAGGTCATATTACATACAGTGGTCAAAACAGCATCATTGACTATATTACATGTATGGGAAACAAAATAGCTTTGACCATGTCATTGCAGAAGTGTTTTACACAATAAAATGAACAAGGGCTCTAAGATATATTTTGTTTTTATTAAATAATAAATTAAATTTAATTTTAACTATTCTCACAAATGTGTGAGTTATTTCAGGCTCAAAGAGACCTTAAACCTGTCCAAAAAAGAAATATTTTTTTTGTAAAAAAATTTACTTAAAAATCAATTTATTTTATAACCACAAAAAACACCCTCCTTATTTTTAAAACATAACAAGTACATAGTTACCCCATTCTACAACAAAAGGATGATACACCTGTTAGTTGTGGTTTGTGCGCTATGGCTTATCGAATCTACCAGGAATAAAATGACAAAAATTCACTTTGAATAGTCAGTGACCCTTTTCTTAATACCATTTTTATACCTTATTTCGAAAGAGACCACATTTAGCTTTATTTTGATACCAAAATAAGCCCAACTGGTTGAAAAAACAAAAACAAACAGTAGTTTTTTTCTAAACTGATGCAGAAATTGCATTAGCCTAAATCGCGCAGAAATCGAAATTTTCAAAAAATTCTCCTATGCACAATTTTGGATGAAAAAATCTTTAAAAATTAATTTGAGGGTTTTTTCTAAACTGGCGCAGAAATTGCATAAGCCTAAATTGCGCGAAAAATGAAATTTTCAAAAAAATCTCCTGCTCCCAATTTTGGAGCAAAAAATCTTAAAAAATTAATTTGAGGTTATCTCATAAGTATCTACACATTTAAAAAATTGAAGAAAATCTGAGTCATGAGAGCACATGGCACCAGGCAATTTGGCGTGTAATGACCCAAAATGTGGAGGTGTGTTAAAATACTGCAATACTATTGAATGCAAATAAAGTCTAAATTTTGGTGCTTTAACTATATTAAAATAGTTCTGAGAGAGAATTTCTTCTATGCCAAATGCATTTCTTATTTTTTAAGATAACACCTGCATACAGGGGAAATTAGATATTTGCACAAGAGACAACTACTGTATATGATGAAATTCTTCCTAATATTACAACAACTGTAGTATTGTTGTGATCTTGGCGGGGGGGGGTGTGTCAGCCTGTATGATGCTGGAGTCTCTTCTAATTCCATTGTTGAACTAGCCAGGCAAATTCCTTGGCAAGTTAATGGCCCTAAGTATGGTCAATAATATAACAAAGCAAGTTGTTCTGTGCCAGAGGACAAATGGGTGCCCCCTCTCACCTGACTGGTAGTTAGAAGGACAATAGCCAGTTGTATGTGACACCTGGGCTAGAAGCAAGCAGAAGCCAGAAAGTGAGAAACATACTTGATTTCTATTTGAATCAAAGGCTGTGACCATAGAAGAAGCAATATATTTTGGGGTGTTGATTCTGTGTCCCTCCATCACAGGCTGAGGTTGTATACTTGTATAAAAAAAACAATAAATCTTAAAGACACCACAGACTCTGATGTCCCTCATTCCTAGAATCTCTGGAATTTCACACTGCTCAGAGTGGGGTGATGTTCAACAATATATTGGCATGCTATGTGAGGGGGTCTACCATGACCCAAGGTGTGACAACCTCCCAGCTGATGGATTTTGACTGAGGGGGAAAGCCAGATTTAACCAATGTGGGACAATCCACTGGGATGTTGTACTGCACAAGTTCCCACTGAAATAAATAGGAGAGGCATAACAATATTTGTATGACGCCTCCATTCCTTTCAAAGAGACAGGCACAGAATAATATCCTGGTGGACTATGTCTCATATTACTGGCAGGTGTGTTGTTACTTCACTTTCCTGCAGCAGGCAGCAATATGACTTGTGCCAGCCTGCTTAAGGCTGGCACCGCTCCCATGCTCTACATATGAGAAGACTTAAGAACTGGAGTCATGTTCAAAAGTCATACAAGCACTACCACTATGTCAAAAACACAGCACCAGTCTTTTCAGCCCACATATTCACCATGCGAAATTGATCCTAATCCTTGTGCATTTCTCTGCAACATGAAAGCTTTCCCCCAGCTGTCCTACATTTCTCTTACCTCAACCACCCCTCTAGCTCTACAATTCTATGGTTCTATGAACTAGTCCTTTAGATTTACCGTATATAACGCATAGAAATATGAAGATATATTAGATGTATCTAGGAGAATGCTGTCTAAGACAAACAAAAGAAGCAATAACAGACTTCAGTGTTAGGCAAGATTTAAAACAATGCATGATTATTATACCTTTTCTTGATTTCCATCTAGAGCCCCACTTGATGCCAAGCTCCTTTCCATATTCTTCTCCATACCAAACCAGAAGCTCAGAATGAATAAGGATTATTTTACATGCTCTGTAGTAGATTTTCCCATGATACTGGAAGGCAACAAGATTTTGCTCTTCCTCATTCCGGGCACAGTTAACATACCTGAAAGTTCATTGTTAAGAGGGTAACTAAAAGTACTCAGTCAGGCAAGGTGGAAATTAGAGAAGTACTATGAAGCATAACAATTGCATTACTTTCTTCTATTATTCCAGTAATGAAATGCACAGCTGAAATATTTTAAATTTGTTGAACACTGGGCATATTATACACTGGAGGTTACAACACACAACAGAATTTTGTAAAATAAACTTTGGTCTTCTTACCTGTGGTAACTTCACTTTCTTTTTTTTTTTTTGTGGTAGAAGAATATATTTGTCTGGGTTGCTCCTCCCATTCATTTCAGAAGCAAGACTTATGCAGACCACCAGGCATTTGCTCTACTAGGAATGATGAACCCATAGCTTTGACTGATCCCACTAAGCAGTTTAGCAGTCCACCACTCTCTTTCCAAACCAAGATATTATTTTTTTCCCTTTGAAAGGTGCCACTTCTCCCTCTAGTACTGGCACTACTGGACTTTGGTAAATAGTGTGCAATTTGCACAGCAGTATGCAGAAAAAATACCCTGGTAAGACTGCTGTTGAAAGGATAAAGAAAACTTAACATTTATTACTCATGGAGGAGGAAACATCCTATGTATAGATTTTACATGTGGCCAAGATGCAGCCAAGATGTTGACACTAGCACAAGCTAACTCATACTGACTACTTGGAGAAGCAGAAAAGCCTGAAAGGAAGTGAACTACTTTACCGACGAGCATTTACTAAAAGAGAAGGAATCAGTGAAGAAGGAAGAACAGGTTGCATTTCTATCTATTCCTCACCACAGTTCAAGCAGGTTATTGTAAATGTTGTGCTTTACTCCCAACAGTTAAAAGATCTTAAGAGCATGGACGGTTAACCTGTAGTCACCCAGAATGACATATAAGTCATTCTGTTCTATTGGCCTTTCCATGTGTATGAAGACCCTTGTTTTAAAAGTCTCTCTTCATTTAGTTTGATCAAAGATGTTTACCTCATCCAGTTGGAATTAGTTTCATCCTTTCCATCAATGTAAACATAGCAGTTTTGCCCTCTAGTAATCTGTAATTAAAATAAACACGAAACACACACATCAATATGGTAGCACTACAACATATAGGATGTTAAGGGGCTCTGCTCCCCTGCTTGCTTTGGTCATCAAACCCCCCCCCCCACACACACACACATTAACCTCTTAGAGTTTCCCCTTCCCACTGCATGCAACTACTAAGCCCCCTTTTCACCCTCTCAACCCTACGTTTGAAAGCACTACTCTCGTTTCTGCAGCCTTGCTTTGCACCCGTTTTCACCTCCACCTCCATGTCTTCCCCTTCTTTTGTGCAACCCCAGCAGGCACACAGACCATTCCCATAGTAATCTCCTGCATCTTCTTCTTCCCACATATTGCAACTACTAAGAACCCTTTTCACCTTTTGCCTAATTATGAAGCCACCCTCCCCACCTATTCTGTAGCTCTGTTTCCTGGCAGGCTTGTTTTCTGGATTCTCATCATTTTCTTTTTAGGAGTTTTCCTGGAGTTTTTAAACTTTGTGTTTAAATAATCTAGAATAGTCTAGGTGGGGAAATATACTTTTTATTTTAATAATACAATTCACTTTGAATAAACAAATAAGCAGAAGCAACAAAATATTGCTTTGGGTAAGAAATACATTTTAAGAACTTCCCTGGCTTTTTTGCTTGAGGTATATTTCATTCATTCAGGAAGGTGGTACTCTACACGAAAAGTTCTTAAAATAAAAGTGCTGTGTGTAAATCATACCAGCCAAGAATAACCACTGTTGGCTGCTTCTTCTTCCTCTGTGATTTTCCCTTCGTAGGGCCCAAAATGAATTCCTGGAGGCAGAATTTCTCCTTCATTCCAGACTCCAAAGCCAGCTTTGGGGATACCTGAAGGGCCAATTCTCAAACCTGGAGGTAAAGTGAGGGTGGCCCTCTCTTCCAGTCCTATTTCTACTGCTGTATCCTTGATGAAAACTGGAGAACCATGAACTGAACATTCATCAATAAAGAATAGCAGGCAGTATTCACAAACTAGGAAGGGAAAGAAAGTTAACTGAGACATGATGCTGCAGGACTTTTTTCACCATCAATTAGTTTATTCCTTTTTTTCAGATATCTACAGTTATGAATGGCAATCTATATAAATATTTAAAGTTGTAAAACTTGGGGAATTTGTGTCAATGTGCAATAATTATTACAATGAATTTTGTGGTTGGCTCTCCAACTGAGGCTCTGGTCTTGTTGGGGAATGGTGATATGGACATGGCTATTGTACTGCTTCAGGGGATAAGGATGCCAGGGACAGTCTACTTATGGGACAGTCCAGAGAGCAAGGTTGGGTTCACAACCTAAGGTCACATTGAGGGGATGGTCAATAAGAGAAGCAAAGTCCAGTCACAGGCCAAAGACAAAAACAAAAAGAACACAGGTTCTCAGCAAGGTAGCACAGAGCACCAAGAAGCTGGTTAATGGAAGTTGTTCCAAGAAACTTTCCCAAGGACTGTATACATTTTTCCAGGAGCCTGCTGAGCCCCACCTTAGACATAGCATATGGTCAGCAGATAATCTAATTGCAGCAGACAGAATTCTGTCTGGTTCTAGTCATAGTCAGCCTGATAGTTGTTGTTGTTATTTTGTTTTTTAAATAATATTTATTAAATATTTCTTAGTTTACAAAAATATGTGCATTGTCTCTTTTTTCAAGTTGTGTTTTCTACAGATCAGTTTCATTTGTTGTGAGATGTTAGTATTGCAAACAATATGAGGTTGGGAAGAAAAGATGGGGAAACTGGGGGAGGGGTGATGGTGTGCGGGATAGTTTTACAAACCCTGATAGTTCCATTTAACAATAGTTCTAGCACCATAGGGTGCTCCAAGGCTTCATGGTACAGTTGGATGAATTCAGGGGAAATGTTTCATTATTTCTTATGTTTGTCATTGCCCATAAATGTTAAGAAGGATTATTTCCCCTGCTATGCAACCTTGGCATTCCCTATCAGAATGTTGAGTGGTATTGACGTGTTTCCTATTGGATTCTCTTTGGAGAAGGAAGGATTTCCTCCTTAAACTAGTTTAGCCACTAACATTTGGTTGGTTGGTTTTCCTTTTCTTATAGTGTGTAACCATACTTTAATTGCACAAATTCCATCAAGCTATTATAGGAAATTTATTTTCTTTTTAAAATGTGGTTGGGAATACTGATTATAGCTCAGGAACTTTTTATGTGAAAGTCTGAAGTACTTTCTTACAAAATGGAGCAGTGTCACAAAAAGAGAGTTTAATAGTGCCAGTGGTTTGGCCATATAGAATTGCTCTTCCTTTTCCAATTTATGACAATTGTTACAAGCCTGATACAGGCATTTTAATTAACATAATTTTGATTAAGCACTTTTTAAAATATAAGCATAAAGGGAGAGTTTCTTAGCATTATTAGCATTAGAATTATGAATAAACCTGAACCTGAAAAATATGTAATAGAATATCTAAAAGCACTGTTTTATACAGTAAATATTTTTCCAAGGCATCATAAGAATTGAAGATGGAAACTGCTGATTATAAACTTACACAAGTAATCATCATCATTTGGCTCATTTATTTCCATATATGTTTTTCTCTCCCTCTTCCGCAAACTATATGTACTAACTTCTTTCTCCTGATCTCTTTTCCTATTCTTTGTTTTCCCCGACAAAGCTTTCTTCTCAATATCTGAAGTATATAATATAATTTTGTAACACATAAACTCATGGAAAGCAAAAGTACATGGAATACAAGAACTTGAATCACATTAGGTATGTTTAGGTGTTCACATTAGTCCCTGCTTGCCTTGCTCATGTGTAGGATTTACATATAAGCAGAATGTCTGAATATACCTACTTTTGTTTCTGCAAGATGTGTGTAGAACACTGTGGGATATTCTATTCTGGAATGGCATTGTCTCCTTATAATAAAATCTTCTATTGTTTCAGCATTTCTAACAAGTCACATAAGAATAGCAGGTGGTAAAAAACATAGGATGAACATACCACACTGGACATGAAGTGACAGATACAGTGTGCTGAGAATTAAAATGTTCTCTATTTCCTCCTGAAGATTTTGCTTGGCTGTGCTCCAAAACGTTTCACTAGGCATCTAAACAGAATTAGTTGTGCTCTTTACTAGCGAGGCTTAATTACCTAGATTGGCTGAGAGCCTGTATATGTGACAATGTGGCTCACAGGCAGCAAAATATTAACCAATCATGCTCCAACCTAGAAATACCATACTAAACTGTAGCCCTTTTCATAATGAGACAAAACCACCTAAAAAATCCCCAACTTTCATAAAGCACAATGAATATCTTTTAATATGGACATACCCGCATTTAAGTGCAGCTTATCAATGTTAGAAATTTAATTCTGAGTCAATTTTCATATTTCATGGTTGCAGGAATGCCTAGTCCTGTTAACATGGATAAGCTCACACCTAAACATCACTACAGTATTACCACACCCTGTCACTTTCATGCCCCATCTCCTTCCATATTTGACTCATGTAAAGTCTTTCACAGTGTAATTGGCTAGGTGGATTTGCACTGCTTGAGGAGCTGCACAATGTAAGCTCTCTGTCATTTTGCTGCACTGGACTTGAAAACAACATGCAACATTGCTTTTGCTCTTACATACAATTCCATCAATTTTTTTCATCTTACACAGATCATAAGATCAGATCATTAGAAAAAGTTCCAGTTCCAGTTTTGGAGAGTGTCCTTTACAAGTAAATGTCAAAAAAAATTATAGGCAGCTGTAAAGAACACAGTGGGCAGAGTAATTGTTATTTAAAGTTGTTAAAAAAATAAATAAATGGCTCTCCAAGCACTTACCAGTCTTTGATTCAGCTGCAATGTCTGTAGTATGAACATCTGCACATGTATTTTTGTCAGTTTTCTTTATATGTTCTTGGTCTTTGGAAGTAAGTCCCATAGTGTTTATTTGCTTATTCTGCAACAACACATTGTTTTCTATTAAATCTTAACACCTCAAATAACACTCAAAGAATTAAGAGGGGGCTTGTGAATCATGTGTATTTACTGAGTGGTAAAAGTGATCATAACGGATGCGGGTGGCGCCGTGGGTTAAACCAGAGCCTAGGACTTGCCAATCAGAAGGTCGGCGGTTTGAATCCCCATGACGGGGTGAGCTCCCGTTGCTCGGTCCCTGCTCCTGCCAACCTAGCAGTTCGAAAGCACATCAAACTGCAAGTAGATAAATAGGTACCGCTCCGGCGGGAAGGTAAACGGCATTTCCGTGTGCTGCTCTGGTTTGCCAGAAGCGGCTTAGACATGCTGGCCACATAACCCGGAAGCTGTCTGCGGACAAACACCGGCTCCCTCGGCCTATAGAGCGAGATGAGCGCGTAACCCCAGAGTCAGTCACGACTGGACCTAATGGTCAGGGGTCCCTTTATCTTTACCTTTTAAAAGTGATCATATTAATTTAGATCTTCTTAAATATTTCCACAATGGCAGTTATCATTTAGACAAATTACCAGTTAGTATATTCAGTTACGAGACAGTCCCAAGCCATACTTAATTATTTATTTTTCTCAGGAATCTCTCCTTTGGCTATAGAGTACAATGTTTAGCAAAAGTACGGTACATGGAAATAACTTTGAACATGTGACTATTATTGCTAACACCCAGAAAGACCTTCAAACGTGAACAGAAAATGAATTGCTGCAGCAATCATGACTTAAATGTATGAAATATTATATATTTGACTTTCAACCCAATGAAATAGCTACATTGTGTCCTCATGTCAAAAAAGTTGTGCTGTCTGGGGCTGACTAGAATTCAAAACACCTAGAGAAGGGTTGTCAGCCTGGTCCCTACTGCCCACTTCTAGGCATTTCAGGATTCTAGGTGGGCGGTAGGGGGTTCTACAGCACAAGCTGAATTATCCTTCCATCGAACACTGGTGGGTGGTAAGGAATTTTTTCCATTAAGAAAGATGCATTAGTGGGCAGTAGGTATAAAACGGTTGACTACCACTGACCTAGAGGGAATCAGACCGGTGAAGGCTGGTCTATTAGGCTGTGTCCACATAAAGCTTTTGAAACACACATGGGCTATTTCACAGTGTGCTTTCGTACATAGCAGTTTCCTGTGTACAGCAGTACACACCTTCACGATCTAAAGCAGCAGCTACTAACTATATTGGCTGTATACATGGATAATGTGCAAGCTAGTGTCCAGCTGTGTTCTGTTCCCCTCCCCTCAATTAGTGTTTCCACATACTTTAAAAAAAAGAAAAAGAAAATGTTTTTCACAGTCTTTCAGTGTGTCTGCAAATAGTGTGGGTTTTGTGAACTACAGGTCACCCTGTCAGATGGGTAGCTTATCCTCAGTCTCCTACACATTTGATTCCAGAGTTTGTGTTGATTCCAGAGTTTGTTTCTTTGTTTCAGTTGTTTGTTTTGGTTCTTCCTTTGTTTGAATGTGTAATGTTATGATCACTGACTACAAATGTCAAATTGTTTCTCTGGAAGCTAATGATCGTGAACAATAAATTTCCACTCAAATAAAAGTATGCCCCTTCAAACCCTGCTATTATTAATATCTTTATTTCCATATTAGGGCAAACACATGAAATATTTCTCCAAACTATTTTGATTCGATGTTTGCTAGAATCATCAGACAAACAAAAAAACAGAAATTGCAAATCACTTGAAATATCCAAAACTATCTTACTTGATCAAGAGGGTACTTTTTTTTCTTTTCCTCTTTCCAGCTATTCAGGTTACATGGTGTCCTAAAAGATTTTACTGGAAATAAGAAGCAAACTAATATTTTAGAAATTAAAATATTATCACTGAACATATAAACCCGAGAGAGAGAGAGAGAGAGAGAGAGAGAGAGAGAGTTGTGCAATATATACACAAACTTTGGTATTTGTACCAGTTAATCATTTGGAGAATGCTATAGCTCCAAACCATCCACTAAATTTATCCAGTACCTGCCAGCCAGTTCTCCATGGTAATTTCCAGGAGTATATTTGCAAAAATGTGTTATACCCCGCCCATCTGGCTGGGTTTCCCCAGCCACTGTTTCACCAAGAGAAAAACATTTGGTAGCATGAATTTAAATAAATAGAAACTGAACAGGCAGGTGGTTCTCCTTCAGTTTATGGAATGATAAAAACAATGATGCCTCAATAAATGTCTCTTGATTGATTGATGTTTAGAATATGTTCTCTGCATCTTCACTTTTATCTTGACTATGAATGCATCATCACAGGAATGTATCCCATGATATTACACATTGTGTTGCCAAGAAAAAGGAGTGAACATAGGAAACTGCTATATACTAAGTCAGACCACTGGTCCATCCATCTCAGTATTGTTGACACGGCCCAGCAGTGGCCCTCCAGTGGTCCAGACACAAGTCCTTCCCAGCTTTAGCTAGAAATACCAATGACTAAACCTGAGAGTTTTTCTGCACAAAACACATGCTGTACCACTGAGCTCTAGACTTTCCTTATATAATAGGAATGATTGAATATACATGGAATGAATGGGATTACAGGAACAATATGGCAATAACCATATTGTATTGCTGATACAGTATTGAATTAATGAAACATCATTAGATGCTCAGCTTTAGAATGAATATAAAACCATTCTAATGCAAAAGATTAATATTCAATAAAAAGAATACAGCAAAACTGCAACCTGATTTATGCACCAGAGTACACAGTATAGCAACAGAACAGAAGTGGGGAAACAGTGACCCTCCAGTTGTTGTGGGACTCCATCTTCCATTAGCCCCATCCAGCATGGTTAATGGTGAAGGATTACAGGAGTCATATCAGGAGGGCCATTCATTCCCCATCATTGCAACAGAATATTCATATAGGCAGAGCAAAGGAAAATCCAGTATGAGACATAAGGGCTATTAGTAGTGACGAACAAAATGAACCAATGTAGATGAGTTGGGTCACATCACATAAACTACATTTTGTTACATTCATCAGCTACATCTCACAAAATTAATATAACTGAAGTAATTTATCTTTCATTCTTTTTAAACTTTTTTTTAATCAATAAACTAAATTTATTTATATATCATCTCAGAATGTTGCAAGCAGCTGCATGCACGGAAGTACTACTAATGCAATCTTACTTTAATGCCAGTGACTTGGAACATGCAAGATACTTCTCAAATGGAGAGTACCTCCATCTCCCATTCCAGGCTGGGCCCTACAGGGACATTCTTCCTGGGTGTAACAATTGTGACCCCAGCTTTGAGCTTTGAGTGAAAGAATGACTCGCGCTGGCTGTGTCCACTGCTACTGTTGGAGGCATCTGGTTGGCCATTGTGAGACCAGGGTGCTGAACCACATGGGCCCATATATATGTCATTCACCAGAAAGAGACAAATGCAGTCATCCGTAGAGCATTTATCTTTCAATTAGCTATGATGGCTAAATGGAATGCCCATGTTCAGATATATGCTAAGTTGATTGATGGGACAACAGAAAGGGGGGGCGGTATTGCCTTCATGCCCTGCTTATGGGCTTTGCAGAAGTACCTGGCTAGGCACTGTGGGAAACAGGATGGTCTGTTCCAGCAGGATTTTTCTTAGACTTTATTGCTGGTGAGGGGTGTGGCCTGCAAAGAGTTCTATGGCCCGTATAAAGAAGCCTGGAGGGCTGCATCTATTCAGGAATGACTATAGTAATCATTTACCTATAGATTTTGGTGTCCATTCCTCATCGGACTCAGAGGACTCATCTGTAGTTTTGGGAGGTTGCCGTGCATGATACATAAATGTTGGTTTAGGTGTAGGAAGACCTAATAAAAAATATCAGTTATAAGATACTATAAAAGTTGTTGTCTGCACACATCTTGTTGAAAGAATGCATCCAGAAATTTGTCTCTGTTCAACTGATGGCAAATGCCAATAAAAGACAAAATAATCAATGCTATGGTACTGTATTGTGCTATGGGGGGAAAAGGCCCTTCCCACCCCCCTCCCCAGAATCTGAATCCAATGGGAGAGGCTTCAGATCACTTGCCACATAGTATACCTAGTCACAAGTTTTTGTTAAAAGCAAAAAGTACTGTATCAGCGAAAGACCAATCTATCCTCTGCAGTCCACAACATGGGGGAGGTGTGGGGAAAGGAGACAATTGTTTCAATGTTATCTTACAGAGCAATTCTAACAAACTCAAAAGTAACCCCTATTACTTTCAATTGGGGTCTACACCCAGGAAAGTGGATTGGATTGCAGCCAATGTGCAACTTAACTGATGCAACCCAGTAACTTAACCAAGCATATCAAGTGAAGACATGCTTGGAGAAGAATTTGAATCCAGAGCTCCCAGGTACAATTTCAGCATTATTTCTAGTTCCATACTTCTTTCATTAATCTCTCTTTGCCTTCTCTACTGGTCCTAATTCTACCTACAGAGTTATAAATTTTAACCTTTTTACAAACATAGTTAATATATGGTGTAATTGAGCTGAGCTTCAGGCTGTAATCCTTGAGAGCCCTTGGAAGCCTGACAGTTATACTTTTAAATACACACTAAAATATATGCTTTGCTAACTTTAACATGTCACATAGATGAACCCTTTTAATGTTACTATTTGATAAAGGTAAAACAAGGCGCTAGAGTGAACAATTCTTCAATTGTTCTTCAACTCAGAGATCTTATTGCAGCTAAATAATCCATACTCCTTGCTTTTCAGTAATTTCTCTCACCTAATTGAGTCATAAACTCATAGTTCTCTTTCATATTCTTATAACGAATTTTTTCCCATTCTCCCATTTCAGCCCATTGCTCTTTAGGGAAGTAGATGGCCAGCCCTTTAAAAGTATCTTCAGCCTAGTACACAGGAAGAAAGTGGGTACAGACACATAATATCACGTGTTTAAAAGTTTTACTTAGAAACAAGCACTTTACAAGTAAAGTGAAATCAATCAGTGAAATTACACACTTTGATCACACGTTTAAATTTGCACACCAATTAATTGATGGGTCTAACAACAAGCTAAGTTGCTGCGACTGCTCTTGAAAGTCCAGTTGTTGTACAAGCTGAGCAGCTGCCATACTTTACCATGTCTCTGAACCAGATCTATTTAAAACAAAATTTAGCTATGGCTTTCCTGTCCAGTCTGCACCCAAAGTTTCCAAATTGCATGGAAATTCTACACTACTTTGCCAACTTTGAATGATTGCTCCATGATATCAGGCATGGGCAACTACAGATAAAGTGTCATGTGGCTGTAGCATGATTGTCAAGGTTCCCACTTTATGGGCCTCTCCAGCAAGAACTGAGTTACACGTGAAATCTTATTATTTACACCCCTTAAATTTGTATATTATTTCCCCATCATTTTTATTTAATTAAAACATTTGTGTGTGACTTCCCCCAAGCCTGCAAAATTGCTAAAAGCAGCAAGTCTCCACTTGCAGAAGCTTGCCACGTTTTAGGATGGAAGGTCTCTTTACGGGATATTTGCTTACTCCAAATTCCTCACCTTGGGCTTCTGCCCCCTTTTCTTATGGCTCGGCTTTTTGACCTTCTCTGTAGAACCCCTGTCTAAGCAACTATTTTTGGGGCTACCTGACCCCGTCTTCCCCCCCTTAGCACTTTTTCGTAAGAAGAGAATCAGAAGGAGGTGGTGCCCCACTGGCTCCTTTCTCCAAGGGCTCTCCTCTCTGATCCCTGGGATCTTTCTCCATGAGATCTCCCCCACTGGGAACAGGCCATTCAGCCTCAGTTGCCCTCTTCCCCGGGGTATCGTTTTTGTCAGATGCCTCTCTCCTCATCCCTCCCGCTTCTCCCATGCTGGAACTGCCTCTGCCCTCCTGCCCTTGGCATTCATCATCCCTGAGCATCTCTTGCCCCAACCCCTGAGATTCTGTCCCAGGAGGTATTTCTTCCCACATTCCCTGGGCTCCTGCCCCAGCTGGCATTTTCTGCCCTCTTTCCTGGGCTTCTGTCCCAGTGGGCATCTCACCTCCAGATGCCATTTCTCTCCCCCTCCCTCAGTTCCCAAATTTCAGCCCAGTTTAATCATCTCTCCCTCCTCAGTCTCCTTCCATCCCAGTCAACTTTCTTTCTCCCCTTTCCTCCCTCAGCCCAAACTGGGCATTTCCTCCTTTAATCTTGGGGGGGGGGATTCAGCCCTAGACTTTGGGCTTCCCTGCTCTACACACAGCGAGGGAACTGTTTGAACTTCGCCCCTCTCTGAAATCCTCCCCGCCACAGCCGAGCCTTTTCCCTCAGCCCCACAGAGTCATCTCCTTCCCTCAGCGAGAGGGAAAGGCGCCAAAAATCGCGCGAGCCAATGAGCGGCAGGAGCTGGTGAGCTGCAGCCAATCATCGGTCAGCGCGGGAAATTTCTCTTCTCTTTTTTACAGGTGTCTCACCGCCAGGGTGCCGCGTTCGTTGGTGGTGGGTTTTTTGTTTTACCTCAGGCAAGAGGGTGGGGGAGGGGCAAGTGTAGAAAAGCGGGGAATCTTCTATCCTGAGGAAAATGTTTCCTTGCAAGGAAGGGAATCCACGATTTCATGGGGAATGAATACCAGTCGCAGTAGTACTGGGGGAGGAGGGTGGTCTTCAGAAAGAGCTGGTGGAGGAAAACCAGAGTTTGAAGGGAACTTGTCACAAAGGATGGCATGCCTCTGAGCATGTGCAAAGTACCTTTCCCCCTTGCCACTAAGTAGCCACCACAGGCAGTGCCCCACACATCTGGGACTGAGGAAAAGCTGGCATAATAATAATAATAATAATAATAATAATAATAATAATAATAATAATAATAATGGCTTGAACTCCATCCATTGGACTGGGTTGCCCCAGCCCCTTTGGGCAGTTTCCAACAAAATAGAAAAACACATAGAAACATCAGACATTTAAAAACTTCCCCATACAGGGCTTCTTTTTCCAGATGTCTGCAGGAAGTCCCATGGTTGTTTATCTCTTTGACATCTAATGGGAAAGATGTTCCACAGGAATACTATATTTCCCTGACTATGAGGGGAACAGGGAAAGTGGGCAGGAAAAAGGACTTCAATGATGTGATTGATTTTAAGCTTTTGGAGCTGTTTCCGCTGTTTTTCCCTCTCTTTTTTTAAAATTCGTCTTTATTGATTTAAAATATCATCTTACGTATATATTACAAATAGTTACATTAAAATTAAACAAAAAATATAATAGAAAGAAGATAAAGGAAATAAAAATAAAAAACAAAAAAGAGTTAACAATAAGAAATGAATATTGGTTATAACATCCTGTCTTTTCTAATAAAGTCTTCTGAAAAAAACTTCCAATCGTTCTCATCGTACTTTTTCTATTGTCTTAATTTTATCGCACAGTTTGTTTTACAACTTTCATGTATATTCATCTAGTATATTTATTCCATTTGTTTATTATATACAAGTATCATTCAGTTCTGCTAGGATAACATCATTATTACAATATAATCTTATATATTCTTTGAATAGTCTCTATTCTCTGATTATTTTTTTTATTTGGGGCTCCTCTGACTTTTCCGGTCAGCTTTGCTAATTGAAAGTACTCTAGCATGAGTGATTACCAATCTATTATTGTAGGTGTTGTTTCACATTTCCAACTTCTGGCTATCAGTATTCTTGCAGCCGTAATTGAATACATAAGCAGTGGTCTTGTATTTTGCTTTATTTCTATTGGCAGTATTCCTAGAAGGAAAATCTCTGGCCTTTTTTAAAAAAATAAGTTTAAATAATTTCTTAAATTCATCATATATTTTATTGCAAAACTCGCTTATAACCATACAAGTCCACAACATATAATAGTACGATCCTATTTCCTTTTTACAACGCCAACATATTGGTGAACTTCCCTTATACATTTTGGCGAGTTTTGCCGGGGTGTGGTGCCATCGATAAAGCATCTTCATGGTATTTCCCCTCAAATTATAACATGATGTAAATTTAATGTCTTGCTGCCATAGCATTCCCCACTGTTCCATATTAATATTGTAACCAAAGTCCTGCGCCCATTTTATCACAGATGTTTTAACCTGCTCCTCTTTCACTTCCCACTCTAAAAGATGTTCATACATTCTTGATAGATATTTTCCCTTGTTGTATATTAACTCTTTTTCAAACGCGGAAGTTTCTTTGGCAAGACCTTCTCTTTTATCTGTGCTCAGTTTTTGGTTTAGTTGGAAATACTGTAGCCAACCAGACAGGTGATGTTTAATATCCTCATATTTTTTTAGGATTGGCATTTCTTTGTCTGATTCTAATAACATCCTGTAATTGGGCCAGTCTCCCTTCATGTTTTTCCTTTTGACTGCTATCACTTCTACTGGTGACATCCACAAAGGTATCTTGGGTTCCAAAATTCCTCTGTAATTACTCCAGATTTTATAGATTGATCTTCTTACTACATGGCCCAAGAAACCTTTGCACACTTTCACCTTTTCATATATCAGATAGGCATGCCACCCAAACCGGTTGTCGTGCCCCTCAAGATCTAATACATTTGTATCTTTTAGTGTAATCCATTTCTTTAACCAAACTAGCCAGCTGCGGCATGGTATAATTCTAAATCCGGTAATCCAAATCCACCTCTTTCTCTTTTATCTATTAATACCTGGTGTTTGATTCTCGGCTTATTGCCATTCCAGACAAATCTGGCTAGCTCCTTTTCCATTCCTGAAAACATTTCATTCCTCCCAAATTCGGAAGTGTTTGAAAGAAAAAAAAAGTTTGCGCTGCTTTTTCCATTGCGTTGCCATACATCCGGCGCCATTTTTACACCTGGAAACCAGGACATGTCAGGAATTTTCCTGAAGTATGACAAGCCTAGCTTGAAGTTATGACCCATTGTGCTTTGCTCCCCCCCTTTTTTTTCAGAACAGGAGCAAGGAGTTGTAATGACTGAAGCATTCTTTAATAGGAGGCAATAAAAACACATGGCTCTTCTGTCTTTAATAGGTAGAAGGAAAAGCTTTAGCAGGTGCAAGGCTGCTCAAGCCTGCGACATCATGAAGTGACCATCTGGACCAGCTGAAATTCCTCTCCATCACACAACTCTTAAAGGCACATATTTCCAGAAGCGTGAGATGGAAACCTTTAGCATTATCTCAAAAGGCCACTGGGTGCCATTGCAGCTCCACCGACCAAACAGAGGAAACAGTTGGGGAAGGTTTCCCCTTCATCTGTGGCCCATCCAAAGATGGGTAGGAAAAAGCCCCCTTCCAAGGAGCTTTTTAAAGTCACACTTTGCAGTGAAAACCAATTAATGTCTTCAGTTCCAGCACTGATACAGCATTCATCCAGCAATTTGCAACGACCAGTACGTCCCACTTAAGGGAACTGGTTTGCCTCCTCTACCAATTACTAACAACAAAGAACAAGTTTTAATTTGTGACATGACTACCTCCAGTTAAAATAACTAGATCCCCCCTTTTAAGAATAGGAATATTTACGGGTAGTTGCATTTTTAAATTGGTAGCAGTTGATATTGCTCAAAAACAGTAGTGATCTGAAGCCAAGCCACCTGCCTCGCAAGATTTCCTATTTTTCAGGGTGCAATTTTCAAGGTCACCGTCACCCTTATGCTTAAGGAATAAAAATCTTAAAACCTCCCTTTAGAAACTGTGACAGTGAGCATGGCAAGGGGGCAATAAAGACAGTGTTATGCAAGGGGGTTAATTGCAAATGATCACAGATAAACTATTCCACTCAGTTCAGTGAGCATAATGGGGAGTGATTTCAACACCTCAGCTGTTGGGGTGAAGGAAGATACAAGGAAGAAGGGGGTTCTCATGAAAACATGATTTCCTTATGACTTTGTATGCTCAAGGATGGGATAGCAAAGCTGAAAGCTACATCTGGCCCACAAAGCTGCTTCTAGCAGTCAACAAAGCTTTGCAAAATCAGAAATTTTTCTAAGGATAGACCCCAAATGAATTGATTGAAATAATCACAGTACTTTTGGAAATAAGCCATTAAATGTTTAAAGGACATTGCTAATGTAATACTGCATGATCGTCTGTAAGAAGGAACTGATGAGGGCACTGTGATTTCAGAAATTGGTTTGGAGCATTATCAGGCAAAGACTGAGCTATGGCCATAAAAAGGGAAAGAACAGAAGCTAAACAGGCCCACTGAAATATTAATGGGTCTGAAAATTAATCTCAGCATTATAACCCTTTGTGGTCTCTTGAATAAAATATTTATTAAATACCCTGGATGGAGGCTCTGAGTTTTTATTACTATAGTGATAATAAATTACATTCATCATTATATGTAAACAAGGCTTCCATTGTTCAAATATTGATATCTAAAGATTAAACCCACTAGACAGCGATGTTCAATTTTATTAGTATAGTTGGACAACTCATCTTAGCAACAGCCAAGCATGAAACTTTTTTTTTTTTAAAGTTCAGATCATTCTGGAAATAAATTATTAAGGAGTATACATATCTGGTATGAGGAATTATCAAAACCCTAAATACTAAAAACTTTTTCAATACTTGATATACACTGGGTTAGATTTTTTTTAAAAAAAATTAAACAGTGATTGTTGCAAAATCAGATAATGGATTGGCTCAAACCTTGCTTCCAGTGTCCTGCATTCCAATATGAGATGCATCATAAACCAAGGAGGTGGTTTCTTTTAAAGTTTATTATAGATATTTTCATCTTGCCAATCCAAACATAATTGTGCTGTAACAGTAAGGGTAACAGCAACACAAGAGCCCATATTTTCACAGTCTGATAACCTAAGTAATTTTCCTTCTCTGCCTTTCAGTTCACTACGAGCAAGAATAATATGTGCTCTGGAATGACTTTTTCCAGGTGATTGCATTTGAATTAGGGTGCTTTCACAAACTGCTCCAAAAGCACCTTTTAGCCTCTCTCACCTGCTATCTATGTGCATGTGTACAAGATTGTAATGCACACTGCAGTAAAAAAGCAACCAGGACAAAAAATATGGTCCACAGGACAGAGGGAAAGTGTTTTAAGAAATCTCATCCTTTGACACACCTTAGATCAAATTCCCAACCTTTTCCTAGTGGGGAAGCATTTTCAGCCCGAAGGCCACCTTCCTTTCTGGGGCAAATTCCAAGGGCTACATGCCACTGGTAAAGGTAAAGGTACCCCTGACCATTAGGTCCAGTCGTGACTGACTCTGGGGTTGTGCGCTCATCTCACTCTATAGGCTGAGGGAGCCGGCGTTTGTCCGCAGACAGCTTCCAGGTCATGTGGCCAGCATGACAAAGCTGCTTCTGGCGAATCAGAGCAGCCCACGGAAACGCCGTTTACCTTCCCGCCAGAGCCAGTGTTTTTATCTACTAGCACTTTTGACGTGCTTTTGAACTGCTAGGTTGGCAGGAGCAGGGACCGAGCAACGGGAGCTCACCCTGTCGCGGGGATTCGAACCGCCGACCTTCTGAACGGAAGTCCTAGGCTCTGTGGTTTAACCCACAGCGCCGCCCATATCCCCACATGCCACTGGTGGGTCAGGCCAAAAGCCAAAGTGGAAAAGCATTGACTGTATGTAAATTTTACATTTTTATAGCAAGCTTATTTCTACACACACTCACACACCCCTCTCTCTGTCTTCCATCCAGACAAGCAAGGAGGATCACCAGAGTGCAAAAACAAATACTAGCCAGGCAAAAATACTCAGGGATGTAAAGCAGAGCTGGTGAGGGTTGTGACCTGGGCAGAGAGGATATTGCAAGGCAGGGTGTGTGTGGTCTGGGACAGTCCCAAGGGCCAGATAGATGCCTGAGTGGGAGGCTGCATTTAACCCCAGGTTCCCTACCTGAGCTAGAATGCAAGCATAGATAGGAGAGTCTAGTATATGCAAAGTTATTTAACTGCATTAATAAAATATTTGCAGCATGGGTGTAGCCGGGGGGAAGGGGGGCAGCTGCCCCCCCATCAAGTAAAACAATAGAAATAGCTAACTGACAAATCACAAGGTTCTGCCTCCTAACAAAAATCCTGCCCCCCCCCAACAAAAATCCTGGCTACGCTCATGATTTGCAGTGCTTGCCAGTTATTCAGTACCTTGCCATTCAGTGGGCAGAAAACTGAATGGTGCAAACAGGTTTACTGCTTAGCGAGCAGTTGCGCAGACTACTGCCTGCACACTTTTCTCCACATGTAATCTCTAACCATGAGTTGAAGGCTTCAGCATGGGTCTCCCAAGCCTTTTTTATTATTAAAAAAAAAAAGCTTAGGGAAAGGCGGCAGACTGCTACATGCCCCCAGCTATAATTACAATGCAAAGAGGGTATGTCAGAAGATGCACAACTAGGAGTGGGGGGAGCCGTACCTATTGAAATTCCCATTGTTTATAGAGCAGAGAGGCCACGTCCTGTTTTGCTTGTCAATATTAAATTCACGAGGCAGAGTGATAATAAGGCTTGGTGCATTGTGAATCAAGTTCGATAAATGGTTTGTTTTGTCACTTGGCAGAAAAGAAGCGCGCTTAAAAAAAAAGTAAGGGAAGGGGCTCTCATAGGCGTAGCCAAGGGGGGCAGCTACTCCCCACCCCCGATAAAGTAAAACAATACAAATATTTAACTGACTGACCAATCACGTCGGTTCTGTCCCACTAACTAAAGTCCTACCGCTCCTAACAAAAATCCTGGCTACGCCCATGGGGGCTCTGATTTTAGTCGGCATTTATTATTATTATTATATTTATTTGTATCCTGCCTTTTTCCCCTGATGGGGAAAATGATGTAAAAATGAGAACTGCTAAATGCATGGGCGGGGGAGGGGGGCATCGTTAAGAATAAAAGTGCAAAGCTAAACATATACCGTACAAATAATTACAATAAATAACAGTATCTGGAGAATCTGATTCATTTGCTTTTAAGGCGGAGGTGGGTAGCAATGGGATGAGCCATCTGGGTGACTGAAAATGAGCGCCTAATAATTGCAGAATAGCCCTTCGAGCTCCCAGCCCCTCAAAAGCGCATCTTCACCTGTCCCATCCAGGCGGTACAGGAGCGCAGCGACCGATAGCTTCCTGTAGCCAATCAGCACAGAACTGCGCCGCGTTGCGACCAATCCACGCCAAGCGGGGCGCGGCGAAGCCCAAGGGCGGGAGTGGAACGTGGGCTTCCGTAGCAGCTCGGGAAGCGCGGGAAAAGAGGCTGAGAGTCGCCTGGGCGCTTCTCGCGCTTCGGGCAGCCGCATGGGGACAACCGCCTCTGCACGAGGGGAGGCAGGGTGCTTGCTCCGCCCATCCATCTCCCGCGAGGGAGGCGTGAGTGAGGCTGTTAGGCGGTTGGAGGAAAGAGGTTGTTGAGGGCAAGATGGAGGGTTGGAAAAATCAGGGTTTAAAGTGTGAGGAGGGGGAGATGCCATAAGAGGAGAGGTCTCTCTTCGCTATTATCCATTTCCCTTGTTGAGTTGCAGCAGAGCCCCTGATCAGCCCCACTGGTGAGTAAAAAGGACATTGTACGTTCTCAGAGGCACTCTTGTTATTCCTCATTTTTTAAAAAAAGAATGGGCCTTGGGTGGTTGCAGCCGGCTAAAGTTCTACCCAACATTGTGTTCATTGAGATGAGTGGCCCCAACTTTTGCCCATTAATTGCAGTGGGTCTGCTCTGAAGTAGGTCTAACACTGGCACAGCCCATATACTCTACGGCTGCATTCCAACGAGCCCATGTTCATTTCTGAAACCCTACAGTTGGTAGGTGTTAGTTTTTTTTATATTAAAAAAAAAATCTGCTGGCTATTGCTGCAATTGTGTACATATTTAAAATTGCATATTGCCTGGTGCTGAAGTTGAGATGGACAAAAATATATTAATGGTTTGCCAAGAAGAAAAAAAAAGAAAACTAAACACCACCCACCCAAGGGCACAGCAGAATGACCAGCACACCATGATTTGCTGAAAGTCCTCTCTGCCTGGAATTATCTTACTCTGAATTTATTTTTGACACTGGGAGGGCTGGTTAGTATGTGGTGTTAAAACTGCAAAGGATTTTGTAGCATCTTAAAGGCTAGCAGCTTTATTGTGTTATAAGTTTGCATTGATTAGGGTCTACATCAAATATGTGATTTATTCATACCATCACTTCTGTGGGTATATAGGAACATAAGAATCTACCTGGTACTGAGTTAGACCCATTGGTCCATTTAACTCTCTAAATACTGACTGGCCATGGCTCTCCAGTATTTCAGATGAGAACATTCCCTGCCCTGTCTGGAGATGTCTGGAACTTTCTGCATGCAAAACAGTTGCTCTACTCCTGAACTATGGCCCTACCCTGTGCATGTGTGTATAATAACATACAAACCTATGCCAGCCCACAGACAAAAACCAAGGGATGTAGGACTGCTGGGACAGCAGCTTTAGCCTCAGTTTCATGTCTTACTTTCCCAGGTGAGAATAAGAATCTAAACCTAGCATCTTGGGTGCTGTTTCCCATTGTATCTGCTTATTCTCAGGAGCTCCTTTCAGTATGAATCCTTGTGGCAAGGGAGAAGAAAGAAAGGAGACTTCAGCCAGCTCTGGCTTACCCTGTTCTTCCCATCACCTGAGAGCATCCCCAACAGAGCAGCATAGCATTGAGGAGAAATCTGTCAGGCTCAAACGCCGCCGAACAAGACGAGAGCGCAACTATGTCAAGTTCGGCAGAAATGCTACCGATAGGATCCCAGAACAAAGGCCCAACCGCAGGACGCTACAGAAGACGCTGCCCCCTTTCTGGAGCTCCCAGTTTAACACCTGTGCTAAGTCGACTCCCATCAGACCCATCAAAGGCAGCTGTGTTGCCAAACCTCTGATTATAACGCAGAACAGACTCTCTCAGCCCTTTGGCATGTTTAACAGGGAGGTGAAATCACTTAACATAGAGAGATTGTTGAGCCCCAGAGCTGAGCAAGAGGTCCTGGAGATCACTCCTATACAAAGAGACAGTGGCATGGAGATGTTGCTGGAAGAAGAGATCCAGTCCTGTGACGCTGATCAGAAATCTATTCCCAGCGATCAGTTGAGATGCAGTGGAAAGGACCCACGTGGAGTGAATAAGGACTCTACATCGATTACACAGCATCCTGTGGCCACTCCAGGTGCACCCCAGCCTTTAGCTGCACCTGCGGTTGTGGAGTTCAATCAAGAGGATTTGGAAACTGAGCCTTTTCAGGGCAATGCCTTGATGGACTTGAACGAAAAGGAAAACGTCCCTCCCGTCCCCACAGCAGAAACGGAGTCAGGCAAAGGCAAATCTCCAGTAAGGGAATTAGCCCAGGACCTGCAAAAACTCTTGGACCTCAAGGCAATATTCCCTGGGCGTAACTTAATCAGGGAAACACGTCAGGCTGTTATCAATATCCTGCTGGAACAGAAGAAAACACTCCCAGATTTATCTGCCTTGGCGCTGCTCAAGAAGTCTGCAGGTGGTTGTAACACTGAGACGCCCCATGCAGGTAAGGGCTTGTTGAGGCTACAGCATAAGCATGAACTGTGTCAAGCAGCTTGGCTCAAGCTAAGCAGCTGTTTGGCATGCAGCATTTGCCATAAATATTGAAAACGAGCAGTTTTGTGAAATATTGCAATAGTGAAAACAAGAAGTGTAGAAGTCCTGCTTTTGCTTTTGGCCACCATTCTTTAAAGACCACGCAAGCAAGTGATGGACTTTTTAAAAAAATCCTGCACTTTCTCAGATGTTTTCCTTCATGGGCTTCTCATCATCTTTCATATTTGGGGCTGGGCTGGGGAGCTTTTTCCTATTAAGGGCTTATTTCACTTGGAAAAGGTTAGATGGAGGGGACAACTGATGGTGGATGGGGTCGAATACTATGATGGTAGAAATCTGAACCCAAACTGAGCACATTGTAGGATTACATAGCACACTTTACTTCTCTTTGCCCAATCTCTCCCATTTGTTTGGGCTTTTTCCTGTTTATCCCTCCACCTCCATTAGCACAGGGTTGAACAGACACTAACGAGGCCTCAACCGATAGTTGCAGAAGGCTGCACTAAATTAGGCCACAGCCAGCTTTAAAACTTTTCATGGTGGCCTGACCACCTTCACTGCTAAAGGCAACCTGAACCCTCCTTTACTGTTCAGGGAGCTAACTGCAGCATTATTCTAGATTCAGGTAGGTAGCCGTGTTGGTCTGACGCAGTTTAAATGTATTTAAAAAAAATTAAAAAATTGTCCAGTAGCACCCTAGAGACCAACTAAGTTTGTTCTTGGTACAGTGGTACCTCGGGTTACATACTTAATTCGTTCCGCAGGTCCATTCTTAACCTGAAGCTGTTCTTAACCCAAGGTACCACTTTAGCTAACGGCCTCCCGCTGCCGCAGCGCCGCCGCTGCACAATTTCTGTTCTCATCCTGAAGTAAAGTTCTTAATCAGAGGTACTATTTCTGGGTTAGCTGAGTCTGTAACCTGAAGAGTCTGTAACCCGAGGTACCACTGTATAAGCTTTCGTGTGCATGCACACCTCTTCAGATACACTGAAACAGAAGTCACCAAACCCTTATGTATAGTGGGAGGGTGGGGTGGGGTTTTTTCCAGGAGGGTAGTAGGAGATGGGTGATTGACTCAATGGGTATGGTAAACCTGTTGACGACTGTTAACAACTGCAATTAGTCCTAGAGGAAAAAGCAAGGGATAGTATGCAGATGGTTAGCATATGTAATGAGAAAGGAATCCAGTATCTCTATTAAGACCAGGTCTCTCCGTAGTTTTGAGTTTGGTGATAAGTTGTAATTCAGCAACTTCTCTTTCAAGTCTGTTTCTGAAATTCTTTTGTAATAAGACAGTTGCTTTGAGATCCTGTATTGAATGTCCTGGGAGATTGAGAGACTGGCTTCTCTGTCTTGTGATTCCTGATGTCAGATTTATATCCATTTATCCTTTGGAGTTACAGGATCTCACCCCCACCCTCCCACTATATATAAGGGTTTGGTGACTTCTGTTTCAGTGTATCCGAAGAAGTGTGCATGCACACGAAAGCTTATACCAGGAACAAACTTAGTTGATCTCTAAGGTGCTACTGGACAATTTTTTATATATATTTTGCAGCATTACTGGCAGTGCCACACAGGGGAATAGTGTTGCTCTGGAAATCTGGGTCTCACTTTACAGTGGTACCTCGGGTTACAGACACTTCAGGTTACAGACTCCTCTAACCCAGAAATAGTACCTCGGGATAAGAGCTTTGCTTTAGGATGAGAACAGAAATCGTGCTCTGGCAGCGCAGTGGCAGCGGGAGGCCCCATTAGCTAAACTGGTACCTCAGGTTAAGAACAGTTTCAGGTTAAGAACGGACCTCCAGAACGAATTAAGTTCTTAACCAGAGGTACCACTGTACTTGAAAAGGTTCACTGGATCTTTGTGCATTATCAAAACACATTACGCAACGTACTAGAGTAGTAGGGGCATAATGAAAAAAGATCATTTTGAGAAAGTGAGGTTTCCCTTTCTCAGCTATGTCAATAGAAACTTACAACTTGTTAGGCCCCCCCCCCCCACAACACCATCCCATGTTACACTGTGGAGGGAGCTGGTTCGCTTGAACCTCATTTCTGGTATTTTGTGGGGGATTAGGCTACAGTCACTGAAAATCCTTGGAACGTACTTGGTTTACTTACTGCGTTGTATTTTGTCAAGAAATCAATTTTAAGAACCGTGGGGCGAATCCTAGCATTGCTCCATCCTTTATCCCTTTTTGCTTTTACTTCCTGATATATCCTTGCCTCTGACCATCGTTTCAGCCACTCCAAAGTTTATTCGTCCCCTGGATTTCTACCTCTTCTCCCTCACTGTCAAAATATAGACAGTAAGCTTCTCACTGCAGGGACTTATCTTGTTTTACTTTCCACCTCTCCCTACCCTGCTGTGTTGCTTTGCACAGCATAATGGACTTGTATGTCACCCTCGCGAAGGACAAATTAACTTTGCCCTTACTCACATTTGTAAGCTTTTGATTCCACATGGGATTTTGTGTGTTCATTTGTTCTGTCCTCTTTCAGATTTCAAGAGCCCACCTGACAGGGACCAGAAGGAGTTGCTATTGGGACAGATGTCTAGCAATGACAGCAGAAACTCTGACCAGGAGATTTCTCTGAAAAAGCGGAGAGGACAAGCACAGTTCTTCCCCAGCAGCTTTTCTCCCTGTCCTGTACATACAGTTATAAGAATGGTGAGCATCAGAATGTGTTAGGATAGTTTGAAAGGTCAGGTTGGTTTGAAAAGAATGTGTTTAAACACTGGGAAGGTATTAGTATTATCATCATCATTATTACTATTAAATTTATTGTCAGTTTTTCTCTGCCACGGCAATTTAAGGTGACTTCCATAAAGACACAAAACAAAACCCACATAAATACATTGAAATCAAGTGGGGAAAATACATTAAAACATCCCACATTATAGATGTATTTGAGCTGTAAAAAAATATTTTTATTTATTTTCTTACATATGCAGGGTGAGTCTTTTAAAAGAGGCCCCGTGGAACATGTGTACTCTGTATCCACGTGTCCTCTTTTAAAGGACTCACCCTGTATATCCTGCCTTCCTTCTGTGGAAGGAAGGAAACAAAGGTAGTATACATGTAGTAATTATAGAATTGTAGAGTTGGAAGGTACCTCAAGGGTCATCTAGTCCTGCAATGTAGGAATCTAGAGTAGATCATTCATGACAGATGGCCATCCAACCTCCGTTTACTAACCTTCAAGGGAGGAGAGTCCACTGCCCTTGGTGGACCTGTCAAACAGCTCTTACTGTCAGAAAGTTCTTCCTGATGTTTAATCAGAATCTCCTTTCTTGGAACTTGAGGCCATTGGTTTGAATCCTACCCTCCAGAGTGGGAGAGAACAAGCTCGCTCCATTCTCCATGTGACAGCCCTTTAGATATTTGAGGATAGCTATCATATCTCATTATTTACCAGGCTAAACATACCCAATTCCCTCCACTGTTCCTCATAAGGCTTGGTTTCCCTTTATCATCTTGGTCACCCTCCTCTGTACACATCCAGCCCATATTTTACCAGCTTCTCTGCAAGAATATCATGGGGGACTTTGTCAAAAGCCTTACTGAAATCAAGATACACTACGTCCACACCATTCCCTTGATCCCCAAAGCTTGTAACTCTATCAGAATAAAAGAAATTAAATTCATCTGGCATGATTTGTTTTTGAGAAACCCATACTAGGTCTTAGTAATCACAGCATCCTTTTCTAAGTGCTCACAGACTGACTTTAATTTTTCTGTTCTTGGACCATTCCTGGTATCAATATCAAGTCACTCAAACCTGCTTGTCCCCAGGAGGATGGTGGCCTCTTGTGCCTTCAGACCACACTCTGAGTTCCAGGTTTAAGTGTCCATTTAAGAATGGCTTCAAGACCACATCCCGGTTTTTATGCCCATGTGAACATGCAGTGTGTGAAGCAGCCCTCAGGTTGCCTCAAGCAGACAGCTGGAAACATCACATTCCCTTAAGCACTTTGGGCTGATTGTCCTAGGAGTGTGATTACAAATAAATCCATTGACAGTAGACAAACCCAAGGAGGATGCTCAGTTGCCCTCTCACCAAATCCTTTGCCAAAGAACATTGCATGTCAGACTACCAGGCTGTTATGAGCACTATTTGTTCTAGGATGGGAGGTTAATGGTACCGAGATTAACTTCAAAACTTGCCAAATACCTAAGCCGATTTCATCCAGTTGTTCCCAGGCATTTACAAAAGGTCACATCGCATCAGTAGTTTTTATTTGGGGGCCCCACAGCAGGTCATTTTCATCTTCTGATCCAGAGATCCTACTCTGTTTGGCTCCTTTTATGCAGCAATATTCTTGCTAGCTACAACCTCAAAATACAAGAGCCACAAAGCTCTACTGGGTTCCAACCCACCATCAGGAAGATGTCGATCTAGCCTTGATCTGTTGTTGTTTTTTTACTTATCCCAGAAGCCTTTAGAATTGGCTTAGTGTGGGATGAATCAAAATTAGCCTTAGAAGTTGAAATGGAACATTTGTAAGAGCATGTCAGAAGTATATACATTCCACTGAGAAGCAGAGATAATCTGTCCCTATCTAATCATGCTCTTTCCTTTATCTTGCCTACTTCTTGTTGTTTCCCTATGCAGGCAGAAGAGAAGACCACCCAAAGAGAAGACTTCAGATCCTTTCTTGAGCCACAGGCATTTAGCCAGCACAGCTTTCCCTTGACAGCAGTTCAGCCACACTCCCATCTTTCATCTGCACCTTCCCAGCATGTGAATTTAGCCAGGAGCTCCTTTGCTGCAGAGGAACAACATCTTTTGCATGATGCTTTATTCAGAACTGCTCGGCGTTGGGAGCAAGGACTAGGGGAAGCCTTCTGTGAGTCCAGAAGCAGGCAAGAGAGGTCTGAAGTAGGCAGTAGACTACACACAAAGAAGAGTGCTTCCAAAAGGCATTGCCTGCCTTTTGCTACCTATGATTCCTTGGGTTCAGTCAATCTGAGCGTGGATGGCAAAGGCACCAGCCATTACTTCTTGACTGATGCCCAGCAACATTCCTGTGTCTATGAATTAAGCCCAGATCAATGGAATTTACTAGAGATGGAGCCCGCTCCATTCCACAGCCCGCATCCTTCGCAGGAGCCGTGCAGTTGCCAGCCTCTGGATTTGGGGCTCAGGCCCACGGAGAGAGCTGCCTCTGAGTCTCAGACGTCCTTTGATGTCTTAAGAAGCATCTGGAGCCCTAAAGCGCCCAGTAAGGGAGCCAAACTCCCCGTGTCCCAAGCTCTGGGCCACCCTTGCCTGGCTCACCAGCCAGCCACTTCCAGAGAGCTGAACTCGGAACAAGGGCAGCCAAATGAGTTTCTTCAGCTGTACAGCATCGTCCCTCAGCAGCACTGCTCTTCCTACAGGCAAAACCCTCAGCAAGACAGATATATGCTCAGCAAACACCCATCACACGGGACTGGGTTGTTCTCTGTACTGGCAAAACCCAGAGCCTTCTGCCAGAAAGTCTCTGTAGAGCAAGGGAGAACCTCAAATAGTTACCACTTCTGCGGACTGGCAGAGGTCTCCGAAAGAATGCAAAGGAACAGAGACAAAGGGTGCTCCAGATCCGGGAGCCAGACACGTGATCTGAAGCGGCTGCTTCAAATGGAAGAAGCCCAGCAGCAGCAGCTGCAGTTTTTCCAGCAGCTGCCTATGTCGTATTTCCCCCCCTCCGAGGCTCTAGAGAACAGAAACTCCCCTGACTGCGCCTTGCAAGGCCACCTGTTGGGACAGTCCACCCCGGAGCCCTGGGCTTTCCCCCGAATGAAGTTGTACTGAAAGGGTGTGGGGAGCCAAATTTCTGAATGAGAGAGGCTTGGAAAATGAGTGGATGCTTGATTGGTATGAAAAGGAAAGCCAAGGTGATCGCTTGGAAGGGCCATTTGCTACTTTTTACCTAAAATCACAACACGCCTCTCCAAGAACCCAGAGAACTGTAGTTCACTCCTCACAGAGCTTCCATTTCCAACACTTTTAACAAGCTACAGTTCTCGGCATTCTGTGTGGTGCGTGTGCAACCACACACTCGCATAGTTCTGTGATTTCTTTTTATTTAAAGCACATTTGTTTTGGGCCACTTAGAAGGCACAAAACTTTTCTCTTTCTATTCCGGGTATGACAGCCCATCCTTTACAAACATGAAGCGTAGGTTTGTTGTCTCAGTGTACCCAACAAGACACATGGGATAAAGTCACCTGTTTCCATTAGATTGCCATATTTCAAGAGAGTAAAACTGTTCCTTTGCTTTTTCTTTTTTTAAGAGAGAGAAGGGAATTAACTGAGGTCTCGAATGTTTTGCTAGTGTAGGAATAAAAATAAATGTGAATCATAAAAGTTGAATGTGAAGTTCTTTACTACCCCTCTGTGCTAACTTTACATTTTTGCTTTGGATTATGCCTGTGATGCTATTCACATAGTTCCTTCTCTATGTGGCTGCATCCTCTTGGGATCGCGAACTGTTCTTTGGCATACGTTGCTTTGCTTTTGTTTGGTTTCACTGATAACATTGCTGAAAACATTATTGGGAGGGAGAAGGGCCTATCAGAAAGTTCATACTATAAAGAAACGAAAGACATTGCAGTAGTTGGTACCTGCTTAGTTACTAACCTCCATACGAAGAATCCTGGAGGCAAATGGCCATTCGGGAAGTACCGTATTTTTCGCTCTATAAGACATACCAGACCATAAGACGCACCTAGTTTTTGGAGGAGGAAAACAAGAAAAAAAATATTCTGAATGCCAGAAGCCAGAACAGCAAGAGGGATCACTGCTTTCGCTGCACAGTGATCCCTCTTGCTGTTCTGGCTTTTTCGAAAGCAACGCAAAGCCTCTTCAGGGCAGGGAGAACGTTCCTCCCGCTGCCCTGAGGAGGCTTCGCGCAGCTATCCCAGAAGCCAGAACAGCAAGAGGGATCGCTGCGCAGTGAAAGCAGCAATCCCTCTTGCTGTTCTGGCTTCTGGGATAGCTGCGCAGCCTGTATTCGCTCCATAAGACGCACACACATTTCCCCTTACTTTTTAGGAGGGTAAAAGTGTGTCTTATAGAGCGAAAAATACGGTACCGTCTTGTTTCACTGACCCTTTAGAGTTCTCTGAGAATGCCAGCAAACGTTAGAGGTGATCTGGTCAACAACGTGTATGTAGACTTCTAAAAGGCTTTTGACAAACTACCTCACCAAACACTCATCCTGAGTAAGCTTAGCAATCAAATAATGGGATAAAAGGAGAGGTCTCTTACAGATCCTGGTTAAGAAACAAGAAGCAGAAAGTAGGAATGGACAGTTCTTCCCATGGAGGGATGTTGAACGTGTTGTCTCGTCCCCGCCAAGGATTGGTATTGCGACCTGCGCTTTTTAACTTGTTCATAAATGGTCTAGGCAAGGGACGCAGGTGGCGCTGTGGGTAAAAGCCTCAGTGCCTAGGGCTTGCCGATCGAAAGGTCGGCGGTTCGAATCCCCACGGCGGGGTGCGCTCCCATTGCTCGGTCCCAGCGCCTGCCAACCTAGCAGTTCGAAAGCACCCCTGGGTGCAAGTAGATAAATAGGGACCGCTTACTGGCGGGAAGGTAAACGGCGTTCCGTGTGCTGCGCTGGCTCGCCAGATGCAGCTTGTCACGCTGACCACGTGACCCGGAAGTGTCTGCGGACAGCGCTGGCCCCCGGCCTCTTGAGTGAGATGGGCGCACAACCCTAGAGTCTGTCAAGACTGGCCCGTACGGGCAGGGGTACCTTTACCTTACCTTTAAATGGTCTAGAGCTGGAGGGCAACAGTAAGATAGACAAGTTTGCTGATGATCCCAAATTGTCCAGGGCGGTTAAAACAAAAAGAGACCGTGAAGAGCTCCCAATGGATCTCTCCAAACAGTGAACTAGCAGTAAAATGGTAAATGAAAATTCAGCGCAAGCAAGCGTAAAGCGATGCACATTGGGGCAAAAAATCCTAATTTCATATGTACACTAATGAGGTCTGAACGGGCAGTGACTGTGCAGGAATGAGACCTTGGGGTTTTAGTGGATAGCTCAGTGAAGATGTCAACCCCAGCGTGCAACAGCTGGGGAAAAGGCAAATTCCATGTTAGGGATCACTAGGAAAGGGATCAAAATGAAAACTCGATATAGCACCGTTCTGAAAACCAATGTTGTGAAGCTGGATTTTGGAAAAATTGGGACAGGCAAAAGAAAGTACTTCACAGAGCTCATAGTGAAAACTATGAAATTTGTCCCCCTCAGGTTGGCGGATATACCTATACTCTGCCTCCATGGTTGAAAACAATATATCACTGCATAACCATTGCTGGAAATCTCAGGTGGGAAGTATATTGTTGCACTCAGGTCCTGTTTGCATGATCCTGGTGAGAACAAGTTTCTGGAATAAATGGGCCTTTGGTTTGACCCAGCAGAACTCTTCTTATGTTTTAACTGATACGGGGTGCATATTCCCAATATTTCAAAAAAACCAATGCCCCGAAACGAATTGGAGCAGATACACCTAGATAATAGAGATTATTGTCAAGCCCCTGTCAATATTAGCAAAAGGAATGTGACATTTTTGTCCCTGATTGCTTTGCTTTCATGGATGATGGGATGTTGTTCTTGCAAATGCACACTCTGAGTCTCTGTGATATCATATTAGCAGATTCTGCCTGTAGGTGGTTGCTGTTCCTTTAGCTTGGCTTTCTTTGCATAGTAAGCTAACATTTTCTAATTCATCTTTGGTATCCCTGCCACCATTCCTCTACACCAGTATGCAACTTGGAACATATTATTTCCTAAATTATGCTGAAAGCACAGACCTTCACAGCAATAACTTTGGAGGGGAGGAGAAATTGCTAAGATGATGATGATGATGATATTTATTATTTATACCCCGCCCATCTGGCTAGGCTTCCCCAGCCACTCTGGGCGGCTTCCAAAAAAACATTAAAATACTGTAATAAGAGGACAATTGATGCAAAATACTAGCCCAAACAAAGGAAATTGCAGGAGTTAGTCCTTACTCATTTCCATGCCAAGAAAACTGAGTACAGTGGTACCTCAGGTTACATACGCTTCAGGTTACATACGCTTCAGGTTACAGACTCTGCTAACCCAGAAATATTACCTCGGGTTAAAAACTTTGCTTCAGGATGAGAACAGAAATCATGCTCTGGCGGTGCGGCAGCAGCAGGAGGCCCCATTAGCTAAAGTGGTGCTTCAGGTTAAGAACGGACCTCCAGAACGAATTAAGTACTTAACCTGAGGTACCACTGTACCTAGTCTCATTGCTTTTGGAACGTTAGTCGTTTTAGTACAGCGTGCTTTTTAGCTGCAAAAGATCACACACCATTGCTTTAATCCAGTGAAACTAATGCTACTCAATTCTTAGGTTCCAGGTTCAAATCTCACTTCAGTCACAAATTCACTAGCTGGCATAAGTTACAGTTCACCTCATTCTCAGCATCCCTATGCCAATCTGTAAAATGGATCTAAGATTAATAGCCCTCATTCCAAGATGTCATAAGGATTACCAAAACATTCATCAGTGATGGCTTGGAAGGGGGGGAGATACAGAACATTATATCATCGGTGATTGGATAAGTTGTCAGAGATCTCTCAGAGGAGGGAATTAAATGTTAGTTTTAGATTTACCATGGTATATGGTATTCACTCATAGAGTTAGTGACTATTAATCCTTTTTGCTAGGTTGTTACGAAGTTAAAATGGGAGGAATACATGTGTATAGTAGCCCTGAGCTCTTTGAAGTAAAGGCTGAGATGCTAATTTGTTCAAGTCAATTAAACACTGCTTGGTGAGTGTCCATGCTTCTTTACAGAAGCCATCCCTACAAATGTAAGACGTCATTGGTCTGGATTAGTTTGTCTTTTCTCAGACACTTAGATTTTGCGGTATTATCGTTACATATATAGATTTCTCAATTGTCTTAGCTCATTCTTACGCATGAGCTCAGCAACGAACAAAAGAGTCATCATCTGCCTGGGGTATATAGTGTCCGGAGCCGGTGACTGCAATTTATCCTCATGGTTTTGCTGATCCTTCTCTATGCCCAGGAAATTTCAGACAGAGGTAAGTAAGCTAGAACCACTCTGCTTTTCCTCTCTGGAAAAATAAGCTTGGAAAGGCATGTGTGAATAAAATCCAGTTGGGAATGCCCAGTTCACTCCTTGAAAATCCCGATTCAACCCTTTCTCCAGCCCCGCCATCTATTTTCACTTTAACAAACCAGATCAGATTCGTTGTATAATATCAGCCGTTCCCTGCAGAGGTTACATTTCCAGCTAGGCTATCCAAACCCAGAAATAGCCAGCATTAGCATGGCTAGAATAATCTAGTTTCCTTAGGCTTGATCATGTGTGAGGCTTCCTGCACCCGTGAGACAACAATGTCACAGATTGCAGTATTTCACTGTTAACAACAGCTCGGAACAATACAATTGCACGCAGCTCAGTAATAATAAGAGTGCCCCAGAGCATGTGTAGAATATATTTATATATATGGCCTTCCTAACCTATCCTTCCCTAACATCTTATTTCACATTCTTTCCTTTCCTTTCCTTTCCTTTCCTTTCCTTTCCTTTCCTTTCCTTTCCTTTCCTTTCCTTTCCTTTCCTTTCCTTTCCTTTCCTTTCCTTTCCCATCATTCATCTTGTCTTTTGCTGATCATAGGTTCATCCTATTGCCAGTTTACCTTAATGCCATCTTTCTTTAAGAAGAAGAAGAAGAGGAGTTTGGATTTGATACCCTGCAATATCACTACCCAAAGGAGTCTCAAAGCGGCTAACATTCTCCTTTCCCTTCCTCCCCCACAACAAACACTCTGTGAGGTGAGTGGGGCAGAGAGACTTCAAAGAAGTGTGACTGGCCCAAGGTCACCCAGCAGCTGCATGTGGAGGAGCGGGGAAGTGAACCCGGTTCCCCAGATTACGAGACTACCGCTCTTAACCACTACACCACACTGGCTCTCTTAATATTCTTCAAGGCATATCCACTCGCTTCTTGTCCTCTCCCCCCTGCCCCCATATTTCATCTTTTGGCTGTCAGACTCACTTATGACAAAATGATGAATGTATGTAAATATAATCCGAAAAATGCATAATACAGTGGTGCCTCGGGTTTCAGAATCCACTGACCCAGAAATAGTACCTCGGGTTAAGAACTTGGCTTCAAGATGAGAACAGAAATCGCACAGCGGCAACAACGGGAGGCCCCATTAGCTAAAGTGGCACCTCAGGTTAAGAACAGTTTCAGGTTAAGAACAGACCTCCAGAATGAATTAAGTTCTTAACCCGAGGTACCACTGTATTATTCTTTTTTAAAAA